GAAAAATAAATTTTGAAGAATCGTATGTTACTAAATACAGAGCTTAATATACAAATCGTGACAGCACACAAGAGCTTAGGTCTCGTCGGAGTGTCGGCATGAATCATCAAATAGAAGAGTTCCACATTCTGCCCGTAACCAATTCTTCTCAGTTATCAGATTGGTGAGGTGTACATGGTGAAGAAATAACCATGACCATAATGATAAAGAGATCAGCCTCTTCTTTTCAGTCTCCTGGTCACGTATAGCACGATCTGTATGAATTTCGATGGACTGCATTAAGTTTTGACCGAGAATTCAAAACTGCTTAGTTGCAGAAATTATCATCCACTTATTCTTTCCATGAACCTCAGATATGCAACCTGATGAACAAGACAAAGCCATTTTCCTAAACTGCAGATGTGCAATCTGTTAAATGAGGTGAATTGGTTACGGGCAAAATGAGAAACTCTTTAACCACGAGCTGAGCCATTCTTTCGGATCTCTGGTCATTATTATCCCTGGTTAATAAAGAGGCAAATTTTTACTTCAAAATTGCAATGTTACAGAGTAAGCCATCACGCGAGATCTGAATTTGGAGATGTTCGATTGGTAGGAAAATAAATAATCATCTGACTATGAACATTTTATTCGGTATAACGGAAGTACTCACCTCCTTGATTACCAGCTAGGGTTTTAAATGCTCTGAGAGCCCTCAACATTATAAGTAACACTTGGCCTTCTGGGATGCCGTGCCATCCTGAACATTCGATTATCAAAATGATAACATCGAGGAGGGCTCTCAGAGCATTGAATTACTTGGAAATTACGTATTGATAGCTTCGTCATGTACGAAACTCCAGTACAAAACGTAATGCTAAACATTTATTGACGAAATGAAAGATGCTCAGCAGAAATGGCAGGCTTTCGGACACTTTGCCAACTTGATGTCCTTTGGAATATTCATTTTACAGAAGCCTTCAGCCGCAAGGAAAGGACAGCTGAAAGAATATTCGGGTTTTGGTGGTTTTAAAATATCGCGAGTGATCATAAGTACTCACTCTTTATGATCCACACATTTGAAGCCATTGCCAGTAATTACGGGTGGACGAACTTTCTTGTCCTTATTGTCTTTGCTAATGGGCTTTCCAGAAGATGACACTTAATAATTCATTGAGATCAAAGAGAGATCTGTAGTTAACACAAATAAATATGTACCGTAGCGGAATTCGAGGAAAGTTTCCGTTTTATAGACCCTGTTCCATGTAATTATGGGAACTCGATTAGTGTACGAACGAAGCTCCATTCCAGCAGCATCCGGAGAGCAGAACCTTCAGATAGCTTGTCATATAGGTCTAATGAAGACACTCTGCTCCAGATGATTCCATAAAGAACTTTTACGGCTCAAGTTTAATATTTTGCCTACTAGTCAAGTTCTCCACTCTGGTGAGAAGCCCAACTCTACCTGTAGCCAGTGAGCGTTTGATCCTTATTTGTCTTGATTTCTACACCAGCATAGGGACAGCCATCAACAGAAACTCCACCGGTGAAATCCAGTATCCTTACCTCGATCAATGTATCAGGTGGAGACTAAAATTTCATGAGCAGCTAATGTTACAGAGATTACTGTTTTTATTACGACCCACTGCCGGCGAAATAGACAGAGTAGACTTACCTCGAGCCAATAGTTGCAAGTGTAGAAGTCCTCCTGTTCTTCTGTACCTGGACCGACAATATCTTCAAGTTCTTGCCATTCCGGTGTTGCTTTGATTATTGCACCGCAACCTGCTGGCTGGAAAAGCCCTTTTCCGAAACAGTATTTTCAGCGAACATAATATTGTTTTCTCACCCTTTCAGTGCACCTATCACCGGCGTATCCTCCAGGACAGATACATTTCTTGCAGTCGCGGGGATGCGGAAATCCACCCATTTCGCACTTCACTGACGTCGCTGGATTACACCTTTCTGAATAAGAATCAATTATTATCGAAGAATGCATGCGAGGGACACTTTGCCACGCGACTGCGATGGACATATCAAACCTAAAGGAGCGCTTCTGTTTTTGTTCCTATGTGGTCTGACCTTACGTCACCTAGGTCCCTAGACAGGTCTTCTTAACGATCACGAATGAGTTCAACCTAATGATAGAGATGTTGTTCGGAGTTTGGCAATAACATAATTGCGATAATCCATCTGGCTCAATGATTGATGCTTGATCATTAGAAGAACAGTCAAATTGACTTTCCTTTACCTTTACAGTGGTAGTGTTCGTTGAGCATGGAGAGCTCGATGAACGAAATGAATGGCGAGCCAAGAGTCTGCTGGTAGAAGATATCGAAAGGTACCATCGTAGGTTTCTGGTTGGCTGTTGCACTAAGAGTTCAGATGTTTAATTTTTTCATCAAGTTATTTGTATGTGTATCATGTATTTTAAGAAGAAAAACGCGTAACATAATACAGATTTTTTGATTTTCATAAGCCTGAAATTTCAATTCGTACGAACAAACCTTGTTCCACCATAGTGCATAATGCTGCCGTAGTCGTACGTCATACCGTAATTTTCGTTTGTTTCCTTTGTTTCCTTGTTGAACTGTTCAATCCAATCAGGCTGAAGATAAGTATAATACCTTTCCACCTCTTTCTATATCGTGTGATCATCGACTACTAGTGCTCATAATCTGCAGTACCTTTGAGAAAGCAGTTCTCGACGCTGCTATCTTCAGCTTTTAAGAAGATACATTACGCATTTCTCTGAGCGGCCACCTGGCTAGGTGCAGAATACTGCTCACTTTAAGACCAATCGCTTTCATGCTTGCCGATATATCTCGCGCTGGCAGTTTGTGGTTTCAGAGGTTTTTTTTATGAACTTAAATCCTATAGATTGAATACTGATGGGATCGTCTCGCTCTCGACTTTCCTACCTCTCCTGTTTTAGCCGGAATATCATACCAATAGCAAATTTATGTACATGCATGCTCCCACTCTTGGATTCGCTCGATGTTCGAATAGACTCCGAAAGGGGGGAGCGTGTGTATAAACAGTACATGTTCTCCCCTCCCTATCTGCTATTTCTTCCCCGTACGGGGATAGGTAATTCTCTCTGAAAAGCGCGTCGCACTCACCTCACCACATCACACGCAGTCGCTCGCTAGGGGAGGAAAGGTTCGAATTCGTAGTGGAAGGGCAAGGTGGCTGCTGAGAAACAAATGCTGTTTGCCGTAGGAATACAGGGGAAGGAAGGCCACCTTTTCGTTACCGAGGCTAGCTTCCATACGCTTTTTTGCTCATGTTCGGAACTTCTCTGTTCAGAGCGCATTTTCGTGTCTGGCTAACCCAATACGAATGAATGCGTTCTCAGCCTTTGCTGGTTTGAGTCAAATTCCCATTTGTGTTGGCGTTGCTCTTTTCCCACGAAAGCTCTCCTTCTTCCAACCTGGCTAATATTATTTATTCGAGTAATGCTCTTTCCGCATACGCTCCCACAAGCGAGTTCCATCCCCTCAGATACTATCAGTTTTCCAATCCGGCCTCCTGAATCCTTACCCAATTTGAACGCTGGTCTAAGGGATAGGAGTTGAGTTTTCGATCACATACACTCAGCCACATAAATAAATGATACTCTAACACACGCATACAAGCATGAATACACAAACTTGGTATACTTTGCTACGGTGCTTAGCATGCGATGGTAGTGCAGTATGCTTACCTTGATATTTTCAGTGTTAACAGTGATGTACTTGTCTCGATCGTATCGTGACATGGTGTGGAAGAATCCAAGAGCGTGACCGAGTTCGTGCGCAGCAGTTCCTACCGTATCACAACCAGTTCCCAATGACAGGTTCTGCTGCCCTCCGATCCTTCCAACATATGACCAGCATCCAGTATTTGGGAACACCATGATTTTGTCTTTCGCTGGAATGGTTTGGTTTTGTTTACTCCTATTCCCCAAAAAATCTGTTTTATGCTTATTCATGAATTGGATCAGACATCCCTTGGAGTGCTGCGAAATGTTCCTTACCAGAGCTGTCTTCTTTGAAGTTGATGCAGGTGTCCTTTTCCCATAGTTTCGTTGCTTTGACGAACACACTTTTCACTTTTTTGCCTACACACATTCATTACAACTACATGCAGGTGCGACAGACCACAAATTTTTCTTAACTTACTTGCTGCTGGGTCAAAGAAATAATTCACTCCTTCAAACCATAGCGTATTTGGATAGTGGCTATCTTTGAAGGCCTGACGTTTTGCACGGCTCACGTCGCCAGCTTGTTTCTCGATTCCCGTGATGATCTCTTGTGCTTGGGTGCTTCAAAATACCGAGTGAGGAGCAAAATTTGAGCAGCTTCACGGTTTGTGACTTACGATGTTAATGCAATGTCGGCTTGGTAGAAATCGTTCTCAACATTATTGTGTGCGTTGATTTCAGGGACCGAGTCTCCAACCTCTTGAACCCTGTTCCTCTTGAACAATCGCAGGTTCTGTAAATTCCAATACTCAACGTGCGTGTGCGTTTTGCAGAGAAAGATTTCCGAAAAGGTGAGCAGAAAAAATTTAGTCACTGGTTACCTTCAGCCTTTCCTTGAGAGACTTCAGCAATTCTGGTGTCAGCTTCAACGTCTTCACTATTTTGTCCTTCACCTTCTTGAACTTGTCCGCGATTCTGCTCAAGCCAGTCTCATCAAGAAACTGTAATTATAGGAGAAACATGGAGATCTCCCACGATGCTAATAAATATTTTCACCATAGTTGATAATCGTTGCAAAATAGGTCCGTAAAATTCAAAAAGAACCTTCTTAAATCCGGTTTTCAGCGTCTGAACAAACTTGCTTTCTCTCTTGAGTACTTCTTTCGTCTGTTCCTCTGCATTGCTATGAAAATCTCCACTAACAGCTACGGCCAAGAGGAGAGTTAATAATATAAGCCTCATTCCTAAATAGTAACCTGTAGTTTCTGTAAACATCTCTTGAAGGAATTCATGGGGATAGTAGCACGTTTTAGATTGTTTATTTTGCTTTTCTAACAGGTCCCCCCTTGAATTACAAACAGTGGTAAACCAACTTCCTCAGTCACAAATATAATATTAAATGACCAGCATTTATATAAGATTCTAATGATGTTGGTAATACTCTGTGGTACTGTATGGCTACAGAACGTGTCTCTACCTATTTAAATGGGCTCAATAACCCTAACATATTTATAATTTTATCTTTGACGAAGATGCGTTTCTAACAAATGATACAGAGTAGGTATATTTGATTTCGATTGAGTCTTCCGTTATCGCGGTAGCCCCTACAGTTTTTTGGATGAAAAAGGGGTGCAGAGGAAACGAAAAATAGACGGAGCTTGCTTCCTAAGTTCCAATCTCTGATTAAAAGGGTTGCTGTACAGGTTGCATGATACTAAAAGAAGTTTAGTGTCGGAGTGGATATTTCGACAAAACTCATTCTTCAGTTCGGCCATAGAAAGTAAATGCTCCCGTTCAAGAGCCAATGCAAAAAAAACTAGAGATGGGGAGGAGAAGTAGTGATGAACGACTGTGGCTACTTCGCTACTCTTTTATAGCCAAGCTTTCATTACGTTCACTAGACATATTCACTCAAACTGCTGAAGCAACAATCGTACACTTTTTTTTCACGCAGCAGAGTAAATTTTCGTACATGTTATTCGTCTAATTGCTTTTCACGAACAAACACCAGAAAATGAACTGCTCCGTGCTGAAGTTGAACAGCATCAAATTTGAAAGTTTCTTGACCAATTGCTTGGAGTAGTACGGCATCCCCTGGCACTCAATACCATTTCTGCATGTCTAGTTAAGTACGCAGCGACTTGAACAGGATTAGCATTTTGATTCGATGATGTTGCATCTTTGCCAACTGGAGAGCTCGTCCGCAAACTTATTGGGCCGATCATTTACTGCCGTAGAAGCAAACAGCCGAAACCGAAATTGACCCTCTTTCATTGCAGATGCTTTCAACGACTTGGGGAACAGTTCCTTTTACGATGTCTACTCGGAAAAGGACATTAGGTAAGACCCCATGTATGAGATTTCACTTTGTTACGGAAGAACGTACACACACCTCTTCGCAGCAGTGTAAATTCTTCCCACGTCTTGTTCTACCTGGAGGCCCTTCTAGAATAAACATCGGGAAAGAAATTGTATAACAGGATTTTGTTATCAAGAATTCATAATGCTCCCTAACATTGTCCACATCATTTCGTTCTTCCCGAAAGTTGTGAGGTGGGTAATAGTATGGCTCCTCAACCATGATGATACTATTGCTTTACTCTAAACTACTCAGCCCACTGTGAGGGCACATGGATAAGCATGGTGATGGGATTTCGTCGAAGGTCGAGGACATGTTTACGTTAATGTTTGTCCATATAAGGGCATTCAAAAAAACATCACGTGGGATCTGTTAGTGTACATGTACGCACCCCAGCAAAGTAAACGCTTCACAGATGGTCTCCTACTGAATGCGCTTCTCTAAGCAAACATCGGCAACGGAATAGTGCCTAAAAAGACATAGCATACATGAAAAAAGGCACCACCACAAAATGTTATTACATCATTGCACGTCGTAAATGTGCACTTCATACTTGCAGAGGTGTTCTGCATTACAAAAATTTAGAATATTCGGAATAGAATGGTCACTCTCCTCCTGTTTTTCATACTGAAGTGTTTATGCAACGACTGTCATAAAAGCTGCATTGCTCAAGAGTAAAAGGTCAAAAGAAATCTGGAAGCAATACTATCCCGATTCTGAAGCAAGTTCCTTTTCTGGGGACTTTTTGTGAAACGCAAGTAGAAAGATACTATGTACAAACTGTATTCTTTGCTACCAAGACCGATCCAACTAGACATTACTCAAAATAGCGGAAAACTAGCTCAGAAGAGCAAGGGAATAGCTACGTTGGTACTTCATCCTTTTTGGTTGTCCATCTTTGGCTTTTCTGCATTGGCTTCTAAAGGGCCACTTGCTTAGCTATAGTAAAACGAGTTGCTGTTACGGGCTCTGAGGAATTGCTCACTCAAGGCCTCTTTTACGAACTGAGCCTTCGTAGAGCCTTTACGGTCTCTTCTTGGTTTTCTTTATCATTGAAAATAATGTTGTGGTATACGTGGCTGTGGAGGTTATTCAGGATTGATTAGAAGTAAGATGGTTATTCACAGTAATTTTTGAAGAAATGTGTCCTCCTCAGTAATGAAACGACGTATCAGGGGTATTGTTTCCATTTACGGCAGTAGGGATGCGCTGCGTAGTCACAGCTCCGCGATTTGCTAACGACTCCCTATAGACACATATGGATGCTGTCACAAAGAAGAGAGCATATTAAATGAAGAGCATTATTTTACTAGTAAGTATGTTATTGTTTGTGTTGGTGTGTTCCTTATTGTTTATTTATGTTAGTGATTCCCACTCTGAGATTTTTTGTCCGGCGACACGACATCACGAAGGCGATTCCCATTGATCAGAGATCGCGCGGGAAAACTGTGCGCGCTTGCCAACCCCCACGCTCAAGTTCATTGATAGATTCGGCGACCGCGGAGTGGAGCATCACCAGATAGAGCGTCCCCTTTCCCATCTCTAGTTGTCTTTAGCATCAGAGATAGAGCATCTTCTTTCTTATCTTTATTCATTTACTCGCATACATCCTCTGTTCACCTCACTTTAACATTGAGCATCGTACGAAGTGTTGTACATATGCATTCATAACCTCATTATTGCTTTACTTCATCCTGTTATTGATTCACCCTACTTCACCGAAGAAGTCATTTNCTCTATGCGGTTTAGCTATGCTGCTGCTCTTTTTGGCATATCCACGTGCTCACTAAAACTTCTCGTGTTCGTTACGTCAGTTAATCGTTCAGTAAAATTTAATAAACGTCTAATTACCCAAGTTTGGGGTTCGAGTTCGAGTATACGGTACGAATGAAGCAGAACATTCAATATACACGACCTGAGTATGGAGAACGTCCGTTGCGCGCGTCCGTCGAAAGTAGGTCACCCCTCCTACTCCGCGCGCGGCGCACCCCCAACTGAGGTCTTGACCTGGCATCACAGTACCACCAAGTGTCAGTGGAGCGAATGATTTGCAAACGTCCGTGATATCTTCCCTTAGGCTGACTGCTATGGACCTAGCGCAAATCGTATGCCCCACAGACAACTGCGACGTTTGTCAAAGATCGCGCGCTGACGCATCGCATGCGACGGCTGCGGCGTGACCTAGTTTTGGCGGACGCGCACAACCAAGCGCACCCCCTGAGTATTTATTAATTGCTCATGAGCCATGCAGAAAAGCATGCCACAAGACTTCAGATAAATTTACGGAGTTCTATTCACATAGATTCCTCTTCTTCTTCATCGAATTTCTTTTGATATAGAAAGTTTATAAGAACTGTACAAGATGAATTATTAACTTTTTCACGACCGCTCTATCCGTAAAAATAAAGAAGAGGACGAAAGGTGCACAGTATTCAAAGTAAATTCACCTAGAAAACTAACAAGCCAACGAATCACCAAAATAGGGTACCGGAAGGACCCTTTTTGGTCTTCATGAACCTGTTTCACATCTGTCCCCAACTGTTGTGGAACTTCTTGCCTAAACCTTGTGGCTGATCTTTGTGTCTCTCATATAATTAGCTTAGCAAAATCGCGGAAAAACCAGGAAGGCGAAAGGCAAAGTGCTGAAGACACTGAAGGTGACTCCATGGTCGTTAAAGCCTTTCAAAGAAAGGCTGAAGGTACGGTTGATAGCTAGTTCATTAGTTTGTTCTGCTCATTTTTTGTACCGTTTTCTATCCGAAGGAATACAATGCAATAATGTTAAGAAAACAACACACACTCGATGTGTAAACTGCTAAAGCCCACAAGAACAAAAAAAGGAGGGCTTTGTTAACCAGAGCTAACCACATAAAGAACGAGTCTAATCAGAGGCCTGCCATTTGGATATCTTGAGGTTCCGTTGTCCATCAATTGGGGACAACAGAAGCTCAAGATATCCAACGGGCAGGCCTCTGATTCTTCTGACAACGAGTCAAAATTGCTTCAGTGATGTTGCCGGTTTTTCCACTACATCAATAAAGACAGACGATTCAAACAAGCGGTGAAGCTGGTGACCATAAAGGTTCATTTAACCATTATATGGGTTACTGAATGACTTCGTGAACAGAAGTTTATGTACTTGGACTAAGAAAATTGCTAAATTATGTCATGAACAATGTCATGTTTCACTTAATCAAGAGTTTATCGCAGTGCTGATCATTCGCCAGTATTTGAAAGAGAATAACTTGAACTGACACCGATTCAATCTCACAATCCGTTAGAACCTGAGTTTTTGTAGTTTCAGATGTAACATGAGCTCTATATTTGCCAAGTTAGACTACTGTGAAAGTCAATTCAAACCCTTTGAACAACGAAGCAATTTGGTTGTTCTAAATATCAAGCTTAGTGAAATGGGTTATGAAGCAGATCAGTGAAAAAAACGTGTAGGAAAGCTCGAAATTGGCAAGTTTCAAAAAATACAAGGTTCCAAAAAGGGATTGTACGAGCTGCATGTCATTGACCGTCTGGGCGTCTCCCTTGCTAGTGTACTGTATCCCGCTGTTTTGACGCTTCGTTGTGAATGATACAATCTTATAGAGGGCGTCATAATCCGGCCATTTTCGGGTGTGTACGTCGGTCAAGCTGGAGTTAGAGCTGTTATGACTTCCTGTCGAGGCCGTTTTATATCCCGACATCGCCCATTGTGCAATACATGGAGTCACAGGTTCATACCAGGGAGATATCTCAGGAACTATTTCTATCGCAACTTATGTCTTTGATCTCTTTAATTACATCTAGTGAGGCAATTGCTGATATCGTCAAATTGACCATCCCATTTTCAACTGACAAGCTTCAGCGACAACATTAGGAAACCTCTGTTGAC